GGTAAGAGCCTCCATCCCTGCCTCCTCCCCTCCTGTCCCTCTCCCCCAGCCCCAAGAGGACAGCGAGGTCCACGATGCTCTTTGTTCAGACCTCCAAAGCCTCATGTTCATGCACCGTTTGTCCTCCCCGCTGCAGGAGACTATTGGATCGACCCGAACCAGGGCTGCACCTTGGACGCCATCAAAGTTTTCTGCAACATGGAGACAGGCGAGACCTGCGTCTACCCCAACCCCAGCAGCATCCCCAAGAAGAACTGGTGGACCAGCAAGACCAAAGACAAGAAGCACGTCTGGTTTGCAGAGACCATCAACGGCGGTTTCCACGTAAGCGTTCCCCTGGGCTGCTGCCGCATACGGGGAGTGGGAAGGGAGGTTGAGGAGGGGAAGGCGTCGGGTGTCTGGTTGGAGGGTTGGGATGTCCTTCTTGGGGTTATGTTGATAGATGTTATATGAGGCTGTGGGAGTTGGGCCAGGTGGGCTTCGATTTTTGCAGCCATCAAGGGATGTAAAGTATGGAAGTCCCCTCAAAAGGTGGCTGAAAATAGGGTCGTTGCGACACCCGCAGGCTTTAACGTCTCGCCTCTTCCCTCCAGTTTAGCTACGGCGATGAAGACCTGGCTCCCAACACCGCCAACATCCAGATGACCTTCCTCCGCCTCCTGTCCACCGAAGGCTCCCAGAACGTCACTTACCACTGCAAGAACAGCATCGCCTACATGGACGAGGAGACGGGCAACCTGAAGAAAGCCCTCCTCATCCAGGGATCCAACGACGTGGAGATCAGAGCCGAGGGCAACAGCAGGTTCACGTACAGCGTCTTGGAGGACGGTTGCACGGTAAGTCCGCGGGGGCCTGCGAGAGAAAGACGTAGACGATGAGTTGGGGTGCAACCCGTGAGGTTGCTGTTGGTTTGGAGGGCTCAAGAGCATCTAACAACCTCTCTCCTCCTTGTTTTCTCCCCAGAAACACACTGGCAAATGGGGCAAGACAGTCATCGAGTACCGGTCGCAGAAGACCTCGCGCCTGCCCATTGTAGATATTGCACCTATGGACATTGGTGGAGCCGATCAGGAGTTTGGCGTGGATATTGGCCCAGTCTGCTTCTTGTAAAAAGAATTGTTTTATTTGTGTGTTTGTTTGTTGTTGTTGTTTGTTGGTTTGGTTTGGTTTGGTTTTGTTTTTAAAAAAAAATCCAGCCCAATACCATAAAAGAAAACTAAAAACCCAAACTCACCCCAAGGACCTGAGTGCTTTCCAATCGCTCGTACGACTTCTGCACTGAATGGCTGCGACGACCCCTCGATTCAGGCCCTTCCGTCGGGGACCACCGCCTCTTTCCAACGCCGTCTGGGCAGGCTGCGAAATAAAAAAAAACACCCCACGGTCTTATTTATTTATTCTCTTCCTGTAAGACCTATTTTTTAGGTCAGGTGGAGGTGGGAATCTTAAGTGGCAGGTACGATGGTCCTTCCCTGCAAAAGGGATCTCGCAAATCCAGGTATCACAAATCCCCTCCAGCCCCCGGCCCTCCCCCTGTGTATCACCAGCAGGAGTGCTAAATGTATAATACGACCAAAAAAAATGGTGCTATTCTTGTAAAACAAGTCTGTATTTTTTAACATCAGTTGATATAAAAAAAAAAAAAACTTTTGGCGGAAAGTACAAGTCGATCTGGGCTTTGTTTTTGTTGCTCGCCGGGGGTGTTTGCTGCGGTCTGACTCTTCTTCCCATTTCTCAGCCGTGATAAAGGAAGGTTTGGGGTCAAATCTCCAACTTTCTGGGTCGAAGCTAGCTCACGCTAAGGGAAAAACAAAAACCAAACCAAATTAATCCCCCAAAAAGCAAAAAAAAAGGGAAGGGAAAACCATTTTAGGTGAAAAATCTTGAACCAGGAGGAGCCAGAACAGCAGCTGCGAGGTTTCTGGTCCCACTGCACCCCTAACCAGAAGCGGGGCGAGTCGAGGCAAGCGCTCGGGACACCAGTTAAAGGAAACCAGTAAAACCAGTGGGGAGGGGGACGCCGAGACCAATCTTCACGCACATCAGCACGACCGTGGCCAGGAGGTGCCCTCTAACCCTCCTCCCCACAGAATTCGTCCCATTTTGTGCCTGTAAAACTATAATTTCAGGATAAATTTTGCAATACGGAAGGCGGTAGAGTTTGCAGCCGCCGTCTTGTAAAGCAGCTGCGCCTTTATGGTTTTATAAAAAAAGTTACATGTGTAAATTCTTCTCCTAAAGAGGCTTGCTAATTAGAGGAAAAGCCTCAGTAGTTGAATTTTTTTTTTTTTTTTTTTTTTTTTTTTTTTTTTTTTTTTTTTTTTTTTTTTTTTACTACTTTAACGAAAAGTAGCCCACTGACCCCACAAGGTTACAAACATGCTTGAGCTTTAGGTGCGGGACGTAACAGGGAGCTAGCGACAGCTTTTTGCATCCTTTGATAGCACGGGCACCGCAGTTTTTCATTAGGAGAAATTACGACTTTAAAGGATTACAAAAAACCCTTTTAAAAAAATGCTACTTTGGGGCCCTCATCTCAATTTTAAACACTCACAGCTGGCAACGCTCCGCGAAAGCACCTGAGGCAGCCTCCGCAGGGCTGGGATCTTTAAAAAACATTGGCAGAAGAAATTCATTAAAAGGGATTGGAGGATTAGGAAGGATTTTCGAAATAAAACACCCTTTAAAAGGCCAAGCGCTTTGCCACATGGCCCGGAGGGCACCCCTCGTTATCAGTGCTCTGGCTCACCGCTGACGGCCGTCACACAACAAATTCGGGGCAAAGCCGCTCTCCTGTTGGGCCAAGCAGCAGATTTGGGGGTCCTGCTGCAGGCACCCAGTGAGCCCCCCCAAAATCACCCAGTTAAAAGCAACCCCCGGCCCCAGCAGGCTGCTTTTAACCCCCAGCTCCTCATGGCCAGCTCTTATCTCTGGGGCTGCAGCCAAAGATGACGTCGCAGCGGGGAAGAGGCAATTTTGGGGAGCAGGAGGCTGCGTCACCCCGCAAGGAGAAACCAAATCAGCCAGGACTGAGCACCGCCAGGCTGCCGAGAGGGAGGAAGCTCAGGAAACGAGACTGATAAAGAGCAAAAATTTGCTATTTCCTCATCTTCCTTAAAAAAAAAAAAAAAAAAAAAGGAAAGTTCAACTCATCATAAATGGGTGGGTTTAGGGGAAGTCGGGCGAGAAGCTCGTGACCGAGGTCACCAGGGACTGTGCAGCGTGACAGCCACTGAAGCTGGGTCGGTGACCGCGGTCACTGGTCCCAGCTGCCCCGGGTGGGAAGGGAGGTGCTGCGCTGCTCCCTGGTTGAGTTTCTTGGCCCCCCATTCCCCAAAAGTCATCAGCAAGAGAACAGGTCCTTCTGGGTAAAAAAATGACACGATACCAGTCACAACGCAGAGCGCCAACTCCAGGACAAAGTTTGATTTCTACAGGAGAAAGCCAGAGCTTTTCTTCAAACAAAGGACACTGCACAGTAACGTAGAACTCAGGTTTAATAAGTAGAACTCAGTCCTAGAAACCCTGCTAGGCAGAAATGCCACTTCTTAAAAAAAAAAATAAATGTTTGTTTTTATTTTATTTCACACTGGCACAAAACAAAGTATCCTTCGTTGAAAACCACCGTGATCCGTTGCCCTCGCAGCCTTTACCTGTGCTTCGTTTCCACACACGCGCTCTCACCCAGCCTTGCGTCCGACAGGCAGCCAGAGAACGGCGTAGGTGCAGACGGCGAGGAAACGAGGGCAGCTGTAGCGATCAAGTTCCAGCAAAACTACAAAGGGCAGAAGCAGAATGAAATCCTCCAAGCTGCAAACAGCGCAAATCCACAGCAAGAACTGCGGCGGGCTGAGCTTTCACGTTCATTTAAGAAGGCAGTTGACACCATCCGTCGGGAACGGCCGGCTCCTGGGAGGTAAGCCTTTGAAACACCGAATTCCCACAAAATCAGTTTAAATCCGCACTCGTTTGCGGCAGGCACAAGTACAAAGCAACGCTGAGCTCCAAATTCCCTGCTTTCAAACCCCCGAGACCCCGCAGCTGCCGAACGTGGGGAGAAGGTTCAGAGCCGTGCGCGGAGGAGGAGGAAGGTCTAATTCACCCGGACCCTTCGCGCGTCCCCAGCGGCGCTGCGCTTACTGAGGCCGTCTCCATTCAGACTGCGGTGTTTTGGTATCGGTTTGCTGTAGGTGGCCTCAGCTGCCAGCAAATAAAATCCACACAACAGAGAAAGCGCGTTTCAAAGGTTTCAATCCCTTTGCCTCCTACTAGTGCAAATTACAGAGGTGGAAGCCTTATCTGTGCGTTCCTCACAAAGAACTCTCCTTTTTTTATCAAGGCCTGCTTTGAAACAAGCCAGTGACACGCTGTCACTGACCCAAAGTGGAAAAAATTAATTGCACAGAACTAATTAGTTTACCCTGAAAGGACCCGACACAGTGCTAAGCTTCACAACAGCTGCAAAAGTCAACTCTAAATCTTTGGGATCTTCAGACACCAAAGCATGAAGCTCGAGAGTCCCGTTTCCCTACCAAAAGCTAGTTCTTTGGAAGTGAAGAGGAAGGCAGGCCCAGCAGGACCCCGACTTTGGGAAGGGACCCGTGTGCTTGCACATCCGCTCCAAGCGGGTTTCACGGACAGGCCAGCAGCGCAGCCCAGCTGCACGTGGAAAAGCACGGAAGGGACCCAGAGCTTTTGAACATCTCCCACCAAAGTCACTCGCGATCCCTCTGCTTCCATTTGAAAATTCCTGGTCCCTTCTAGGACTCCATCTGCACCGCCATCCGCCCACAGAAGGCATCAGCGGCGTCCTCAGGGCTCGGCTTCGGCTGCGCCTCGCGTGGACGGGGGTGGCAGAGGCAGCGGGTCCGGGGCAGCCGTGGAGTTGGCGCTGCAGTCCACGTAGTGGTACGTTTCCAAAGCGCTCTGCGTCACGTGGCCGATGTACAAGAGCTTCACCGATGTCCTGGGAGGGGGGAGAGCAGTTTAGCGGGGACAGGACCTGCGACAGCAATCCCTCTATCGACATAAAAAAACCCCAGCAGGTTTCACACTCATCACAGAACTCCTCTTCCCCCTCGAAAGCTGCAGACACTCTCAGATTTTGGCTCAAGATCGCTCGCTGCAGCGGGCAGGGATACGCAGAGCTGGTGAGCGCAGCCTCCGGAGCACACCACCCCCCACGCGAACGCTCGGCGTGGAGCAATCTGGTGTCTTCTCCTCTCTATCTTACATTTCACCCAACTCTGTCAACTGGCCGGGGTTAAAAGCTGACACAGTGAACCAGGCCAGGGTGCTTGCCAAGCAGAATTTTCTTCGTGTACCCTAGATCTGCTGCGGCAGCAATTCCCTTTTGAGTCAGGAGGCGAGCAGAGAACCACCTACCTCATGAAGATCACTATGTTATGTACCTTCACCTTGGGAAATGTGCAAAAGAAACTGGAAGAGACCAAGACAAAGAAATAGGTCAGCAGGGGCTAAGCAGGGTTGCAGAGACACTTGTGTTTCTCGGTACGGTATTTTCCCTCTGGTGCTAACTCAACTTGAGACACGGTCCAAAAAAAATCACGTCACGACATCCGACAAAGTGGCCTTTCAAGTCATTTCTAGCAAACAGTTACTTTCCAGGAAGTTAGCAGAAAGCAAGTCATTTCCAGAGCAAATTTTAATTAAAGCAGCTGAGACCCACCCTTTTCCCCAGCTATAAAGAGCAGTAAATCCTTACTACACATAAGAGAAGGGTCCACCCAGCTCCGCCTTCACGGTGAAATTCACCTGTAAGAGATAAAAGAAAAATTCATCCACATGCAGCTTGAGTACCCGTTTAAATCCACCCCTTTCAGAGTCTTTCCTATTTGCTGTTGCCTTTCAGCTGGTGCACAGAAAGCACAGGCCACTCTCGCCATGAGACTACTTTGCCAAGCAAAGCTTTAAGGTATAGACAGGCTATCATCAAGTTAACTCGCAGTAGCGCACGGGTTTCATACGATATAAGCATCACCAAATCAAGTTAAGCGCAATGAAAGACAAATACCAGTTTGTCACTCAGCGGCTGGATGCTGGAGACGTTGGTGATCTGCTGGGTTCCCACCACGGTGTTCATGTACTGCACCTGACTAG